GTGTTGCATATTCTTGTTGCTCTGATAAGAAAGGACTTCTGGTACGTCACTGTTTTGAAAGGACTGACCAAGTACTTGACTACTTTGCTGTTTGATGATCTTGTTGGTCTGCTTATGCGTACTTCWGGTAGTACAGAGGGTTTCACATGTGCTAAACCATGCGTCATTTTAAAGAAGAGGACCATATTCAGGTACTCATGCCAGTAGATTAAGGTAGAAGCGCTAAGTGTTTTAGTCTTGCGTTGTAAGAAACAGTACAGAAGAAAGGTAGATATTTTCTAGTTTCCAACGATATTGAAAGGAAAAAAACGCGGATTCAGTATTATAAAGGAAGAAGAGTTCGGAATCAAAACAGAAAGTTTTCAGTCAAGCAAAAAGAGAAAACAAGGCGGCCAGTGAAACGATTCCGCTGATAAAAAGCGAAAGGTGAAGTCAGACTATATACTATATTAGTAGTATGGTACGCACCGTTCGACCCCGGTTTTTGTGCCTGATGATTATGAAATGCCCCTGAAACGCGCCTGAACCGTTCGCCGTCCTGATTGGTCCATTCGATCAGCAGGAAATGACGCCATAGCTCATTTGCATTGCGCCTGAAGCGATTCTGATTGGTCCGTGCAACAGACAAGAAGTGACATAAAATCTTATTTCATTGCGCCTGAACCGATTGCGGCTCRGATCGATCTAAACTACTGCGCCTGAAATGAATGGGATGCTTATTGGTCCAATCCATTAACGGGAAATGATATCACGATTTTTTGGTTAGCAGCTGAAGCGCGTTATTATGGCGGAGCTCCCGCGCAAACGGAGCACCATACTTAAGAAAAATGGTAAACCATCGAGTTTATTTTTCATGGTTTGGCTGACGTCACGTCCGTCCGTGTACACAACACAGGGATCCCGCTTGATGACAAAGAAACTTACTACTCGTAAATGCGGCTCTCAAACGCACAGAAAAAATAGTTTAAGAACAAATTATAGACCAACAACAATTCAAAAAAACTTTCATATAGTCAAAGGTAGATCAAGAATTGTTCTGAAAGAAGTCAGGTGTGTGTTTTTTAGCAAACAATAATATATTTTATTTAATACTGATTTTTGATAAGAATTGTTAACGACAAATCGAAGGATTTCTCTCAAAAGTTTTAATATTTGTATAGATAAGCTTAATCGATTTTAATGCCGGATGAAATTTATCTTAACTTACCTTAACTTTATCTGAATCATGTAAACTTTGTTTTTCGAAAACTTTTCGGTCGTTCGTGATTCAGTTCCGTATCTTTCTCCCTAATAAAAACAGATTTAAAAAAAAACTTTTTTTTTCGAAAACTTTTGTCGTTCGAGATTTTCGTATCTTTTTCTCACATATGAAAACTGGTAAAATCGAATCTCAAAATCTAGTAAG